TAGAAATAGGATACCTATACACCTTAAGTACTCTTGCCCTATGTCTTTCTGTCTTCTATGAAAACAACTCTCCACCCCTCTCTCTTTGTTTCTTTACCACCCTACAATGCAGGTACACAAACATACATGCATGCACACTCATTATCTCTCACTCTCACAAACATGCCTCTCTCTCTCTCTCTCTCTTATTCTCTCTCTCTCCATCATCCACTCTCCAATACACACTTCCTCTACATATACTTCTCTGTGTGTACGTTTTTTTTTTTTTAGCATGCATGTGCACATAACCCAAGACATAATAACATTACAAAAGAAGATGCTGATTTTAATCAATATAGCTTATTCGTACACCATAAAATGCAAAATTCCCTAGCCTATTGTAAATAAACATAATTAACAACTGAGAGATATTCTATCCAACAGGTAACACATTATACAGCAAATCTAATTGTAGACAAGTCCCCTTAACTATACTAGCCTGCCCATACTACCATAGTGATCTACATGCATACAAAACACAAGCAAAGAACTATAATATTTACCTGCTCCGTCTGAGCTGTATCACATCACCTCGGCTCAAAAGATACGTGTACCACCTTCCACAGATAAATCAAATCTGTGTGTGTGTGTATCATGTGTACCTGTACTCTTGGCTGATATGTACAGACTTCTGCTGTGTGTGATATGAGGTGTGTGCAGACTGGGACTACACTGGACCGAACACGAGATGATCAGGCAGCAGTGATACCCTTTTACCCTAGGTCCTAGATTTTGGTATCGCCAGCTCGATCTTGATTTCATATATAACCAACAACACATCAAAAGGTATAGTGAGCAAGCTAGCTTTATAGTGCTCTAACACACAGGATATACCTAATCTTAATTATATGACAATCATGTGTACCTGCACTTATATCTAATATTTACTTTTAGCAGTGTGATGCCCAGCATGTTTGTACTGGGATTATTCAGAACCAAACATCATTTGAACAAAGGCACAAAATGACCTTGATGTTAAATCTCTGACTTCACAATATAGATTGTTTCAGAAGCCTTCGTTACTACATTTAATAAGTAAACTTATTTATACATGGTTTGCTCCCTTAATTGCCTGTTCATATTTTTAAATATGAACAGTAAATTAAGGGATATATTAAAATATATTAAAAAATAAAAAAAATGACAAAGAGCATTATAACTCTAAACATTTACTTATCACAGTTTCATAAACCAGCCTACTCCCTAAATGATACACCAAACTGACCGATGTCAAAGTCTGGCTCAATTTCTGGTCCAAAATAGTCCTTGTCTAAACACATCATATATATGTGTCCATGTGTCATGTGTTTGCACATCCACGTGACACCAGTACGAAGCTGAACTTGTGCTCATATCCAAAGTAAAATTATTTCCAAAAACAATCAGTCCAATCAATCCAAAAACAGTCTTAGGCTCTATTCCCATAGGTTTTAGATCGATCTATCCCCGCCGGGAGTCTCACTAGATTACTTTCAGATAATCCGACTTAAATGTCCGTCCCGCCTACTACAAGCTGTAAGGAGGTAATTAACTTTCGTGTCCGCCCGGCTGACAGCTGTTTAGCGTGAACCCCCAGGGAGTTAGGTCGATCTAAAGTAGGTCGATCTAATCTATGGAAATGGGGTGTAAATTGTGAAAACAACATAACACACATTCAAGTATTCCCTGTGGCAAATTGCATGCATGTGAATCCAGAAAGAATTAAGAAATCCAGTGTATCTAGTGAGAAAATCATGCACATATCCATCAGGTGTGTATATTTTTATACCATTCCTGTTTTACCTGAGCAAACATTCAGTAGCACTGCATTCCATGACTGTTTTATATCAAACCAACAGACAAACCACACGTTACGATACTGCAATTAGTCATAAATTTCAGACCCCTTCTTTCTTTCAACTAATATCTAATGCATTATCCTTTCAAGACCTTAACATTTTAGCTACCTACAAAGACAATTCTCCAAGTCCAAGTCACTTTTCACTCCATACACATGATCCCTATCAGGTGTTATAAACAAAGCACTACTTTGAGGGAAATTAATAAATCAATGTTGCTTGAATATCGAGAATAATTACTGTAACTGTGCTAACCTACAAATCATTATTCATGTATGCCAGAGACCTGACACTGTTCAGCCTCCATATCCATGACTATTAAAAAGACATCAGTTAAGGACAAATAATTTGCAAAACATTCTATGTGATGATGTTACGGTAATTCTTTGAAATTTTCCTCACCTCACTTTAAAAAAAAAATTCTTTTTTCAATTTGTCAGAATACTCATTTTAATTAAGCAGAATATTGCACTTTATTACCAGAATTAACAATTCAATACTTTAAAATTCAAATTTTTTTCAACATTACATTCTGTGGAGAATTTTTTCAATTTTATTATGTCCAAATTTAATGAGTAATTACTGTAGTCAGCTTCATACACATTAGCCCAGTTAGGACAAACTTTATGAAAGGTATACAGCACACATTTGAATATATCCAAAATACAAACTGTGTGTCTGAATATCCTGCAATGCTACTTTCATTACAAATTTGGACCTTAAAAATGATAAAACTCTTCAAATAAATGGGTCTGTAAGGTTGACAATTTCATTGAAATATTTACAGGAAAACTAAACACCAAGCATTGATAAAACTTTCTTTTTTCAGCACTGACTACATGTATTAGTGCTTATAATCACCCTAACCTAATTATAGTTTTCTAGACTAATTCTCAATTAACAACCTGTGGCATAGTATAATTCTTCATCCTCAATTATGAAAAGACTCTTAGAGTATGACAACAACATCCCCCAACATAAAATAGAAAATCACAAAAATGCATTCATTAGCACTGGTATGTACCTAAGTACCTCACCCAAATCAGTAGTTTTCCAGATTTTTCTGATGCACCTACCTGATTATATAAATTCCTCACTCTGCAGTGATAAAGGGCCCAAAACAACAAGAGAATTAAGCCAGCTGTCAAACTGTTGAGCCTCTCTCAGAATTAAAACATCCGACAACAGGAAAAAAAGGTGATCACGCAATTCAGAGGACTAACTCACATAAAAAATATGTCACGGACATGCTGCTATACAGAGAGGATCTGCACTATTCGTCTACACTGTCTATTTCAAGGCCAATAATACACATATATCCTGTCTCAATAGCAGTTATGACCTACTTACTGAGCTAATGATATTGTTGATTGCAACGTGGTGACCTTATTTCCTATTAGCAGGGCCTAGGTGACTGATAATAATAATGATAATTATCATTATTATTATTATCAATATTATAATGACTTTCTCATCTTTTTTTATCAGCAGGACAAAAGAGGCTGTTGTTTTGAATTCCTGAGTTTTTCATTTAGCAGCTATATAGAGTCTAGGAAACTGATGGTAAAATCACCTTGTATAAATTAAAGCAGGCCTAGCTAGGAAACTGATACAATAACATCAATATGTTGGTAGTAACATCAATGTATGGCTATGCACACACATACAGTACTGCACACCTGTCTCAATGACACAGGAGAACATATGAACCCTGAGTATACTCAGGAGAGAGAGAGAGAGAGAGACGTATGGGTAGAGTTTACATCTTCTTCACTTCTTATATATTCAGTGTAATTAGCAGCTAGAAGATGTGAAATACCAAGTTATCATACCCCTTCACTTAGACTTAAGATCAGGTACACTAGAGCAAAACACTTTGATCTTAACAGGGATTATATAGGTACTTAGAATCACAATAAATGACCCAGGATGTCTTCAGACCAAAAACTCTTAGCCAACAATTTGTTCAATTTAATTACAAGATAAACACATGTGCAGTAGTCCACTAAAATGTTGAAACTTGGCATTGTTAGTTTTAAACAGGGGAATACCATATTGCCCTATCATATGAGTCAACTGTCAAAGATCAAAGACTAACATCCTGTACCCCGTAACTCGAAACCATCACGCATTGCGACAGAGCGCAAGTGTCTCGATTCCATAACACGTCCATGTAATACATTATAGCCTCTATGTGAAATTGCTTTTCGATGCTTCCGAGTTACGGGGCCCTGGTCCTGTAAAGTAAACACCTGGATATAACAACAGCCTTTAGCTTTACTTATAGTAATCCATGTATTAAATACTGGTATTTCTAGAGTGAGTGTAAATTAATAATAAGAAACCCTGCAGAGTACCGTGAACACAAACAAACTCATCTTCACTTGGGGTCAAATACCTGGATCCACACTAGGGGGCTCTGCAAGCCTCAGATTAATATTTGCTTATAGATCATCCATGTGATAGTTATACTAATTTAGAAGCTACCTGGACTGTAAGCCAAATCACAAGCTAATTATTTTAATTTTCCTCTCTATCAGTCTTCTTTGAGTATCCTCTTTGAGCTAGAGTAATGACATTTAATCGTTGGGTATATATATGTAGTTTCATTGTACTATCTTATGTTTTGTTGTGTCCTATTTCAAAATTTTGTAAATGATAAAGAATCACCACGGCTAACTGACTAGAGTAAAATTTATCTTTTCTACAAAATTTTAAACTGAGTCAGATATTTATTATTGTGTTGTGAGAAAACTATCATGCTAGGAAAATGGAATTCCTCTTAATCATGATTCTATTTTATTGTTATTATAAGATTTGTATTTTGTGCAAATATCATTAAATTTGGGNGGACACAGGCCCATGCAGTCTAGGAGGAGAAGCGGTAACGGTGACTTGTATCCCACGCCACCCTGCGGAGCCGGCGGAGCTCACGGAGCCGGCGGAGCCGTACGATACGGGTCGGGACTAAAACCATGAGTACCGCCAGCGTACACGCTGGTGGTACTAATAAAAACCATCCATCCAGGCATATAAAACTGAACAAAAAGAAACACTTTGAAATACCATATTTACAAACAACCAATCCAATAGCTTTCATATTTGCGAGAGGTAACAACTCACCAAGTCTGGCATCTCTCTTGGAATGTTTGGGTGTGGGTGAGGGAACTGACTGTACAAAACTGCTGGTGGCGCCATCTTTTGATTGTTCGACATGTTCTAACATGTCCGCTGCATTGGTGATGTGCCTTTCTAGCGCCATCTGGTGAGCCTGGGCAGTCTACAACATAAGCAGGTAGTCTTGAAACATGTATTAAGGGAGAAATACTTACAGACATGGAAGTGAGTTGGACATGATAGTGTGTTAGTTGCAACACTGTGCTAGATGTGACAGTGTGTTAGATGTGACAGTGTGTTAGATGTGACAGTGTGTTAGGTGTGACAGTGTGTTACACGTGACAATGCTTTTGGATGCGACACTGTGCCAGGTGTGACAGTGTGTTAGCTGTAACATTGTGTTAGGTGTGACAGTGTGTTAGCTGTAACAGTGTGTTAGGTGTGACAGTGTGTTACATGTGCTATTACTTTTGGGACCATATCATTTGTGAAGCAACTTTCATATTCCCCAGGGGCCCATCCCCCAGGGTTCAAACACAAATTGAGAAGCTTTAATTAGCTCCTTACTGTACTTGCAGAACATTGGGCAGGAAGAAACTAATAGACGGAACAACAGAACAGCAATACAGACAAAAATGTGAAATAAAGTAAAAAGCAGAACGTTTATCAATTACATTGTGAAACGAGGAAATATCATTTAGGGAATGTTAAAAGCCAAGTCTTCTAAAAAGGTGTAAAGTAAATACAAATCAGATGGAAAGGAAGTCCTACCTGTAAAGCATCCTCCATTGTTCCCAGAGGCACGAGATCTTCCAGATCTTCATCCACTATCTGGGTACCCTGGTTGATGTAGTGAGTGCTGTAGGCAATATGGCTGCCTAAATTGTTCATCCATTTCTGAAATTTTCAAATCAGTTGGATGAGTAAATAAATATTGATATCTATTTCATACTTTGATATTCATTTTATACGACTCCAACCCAATAATTCATTAAAAAACAATAATAAGATGGAGATAGTAGCAGTAGTAGTAGTAGTAGTAGTAGTTGTTGTTGTTGTTGTTGTTGTTGTTGTTGTTGTAGAAGTACCACAATAAGTGGTGGTAGTAAAGAGAACAACAACAACAACAACTACAACAACAAACAAGTTAATGTAGCAATAACCCTCACATGTAGTTGTATGACAGAAGCTTCCTCTGTGGTCTCAGGTTGCACTGCCAGTGTATGCTTGGTGGAGTCTGAGAACACTATGGTGAAGATCAGGCTTCTTTCTTCTGGCTACAGGGAGGAATAAATCATCTTATAGTTTATAATGCTCATCTGATCTCTGGTGCTCTAGGCTTATGTGCTTATCTCTGGAGCAACATGTAATCTGCTTTGTTTTTTAATACATACAAATCCATGCCCATTGCTACTTAAGGTGTTTGAAATACCAGGTATAAATCCATAATTACTAAAGATTTAGGAAATACCCTGTGTCACTGACCTGGCTTGTTTGGGAGTAAACAATGTGATTCAGCCAGCAATGTTATATCACAGAAGAGAGAAAAATAAATCTAGAACTGATGTATGATGTAATGCAGTCGTGACTCAATGTTGTGATTATAACCACCTGTCATGTGACCAGGTCACAGTGACCCCACACCCTGTTAAAGGTCCATGGTATCAGTCACAAAATTATAAAAACAAGACGCATATTAGTTTCCTCTTCTGTGATTTTTTGCTAATTATTCTTTGTCAATACACAGCTGTCTCTTTGTCTCCTCTTTCCCCTATCATTATCTTACACAAACTGTATTAATAACTACCTCCTCAATCCCTCTCTCCCTTCCAATCACTTTTTTTAGACACATATATAAAGGAGAAAGAAGTGAGAGAGAGAGAGAGAGAGAGAGAGAGAAAGAGAGAGAGAGAGAGAGAGAGTGATAGGGAGAGAAATGGGTAGGCAGGAAGACAAAAATACTGTAGACAGGGATGTCCCTTTACCTTTATTTTGGCATTATCCAAATACTTGAAACCCTTTCTCTTCACACCTGTGGTAGCATCTCCCCTACATAAAAAAATCCATATCGCATCTTAATATCTGGCATGGTGACTACAACCTCAACACACAAGTATGAAATACTATTTTTTTCTGTTATTTTAACACAACAACTTAGTTTCTTGGAAAAAACATTTACTTGTCACATGGATTGAGTGTTTATATTATACCGTGTATCAATGATGACATTTATTCCTTAGCTTTCATTAATAATATATTAAGTGCTTGACTTAATCTCTGCTGCACTTAAAGATAGCTGTCTCTTTGGTAATACTGAGAGAAACAAGGCAGGTGTCTGTTGTCTTATCAGTAAGATAGGTGTCACCCTTTTCAAACATACCTGCTATTGAAGTATGTAAGAACACCCCTCTCCAAGACAGCCCACATCGACTTCCAACCCCGCAGACGAGATCTCTGTAAGAAAATTCACAAACACTGTGAAATGTAAACAAGACCAACTGATGAAAGGTCCCATGACCATGCCTCTACCATGTTTAGTGTTTTAAGAAATAATTTACTTTATCTTCTTTTAATTTCCACAACAGACTTTGACTGCATCAAACTTAGTTTCTTTTATTGAGGAAGATATATATTTTTTGAAAATTTATTACTGAGTTGAAGTTTGACATTTTGCAAAAAAAAAAATTAAAAAATAAAAAATAAAAAATAAGAGCTAAAAATTAACTGTTAAAATAACATGACAACAGCCCACAGAAACAACTTAATTTTACCAAAGAAATCATTTTTCATTTACTTTTACCAAAACCATCTATTTCCAATATCCGTCTCAAAGTCTGTACACCAATATTGACCTAGCAGTTTTCTATTCATTATGACAGACTAAGTTCAATTCCCCATATCCCCTTATCTTCAACATGGTCTCTTCAAGTATTTGAAAAAAAATGTTTCATTTACTTTTACCAAAACCATCAGATTCTATTTTCAATATCTGTCTCAAATTGTACACCGATATTGAACCAACAGCTTTCTATTTCTAAATTATACAGTAATAGACTCAGTACAGTTCCCCATATCCCCTTACCTTCAACAGGGCCCCCTCAAACCTCTGGACCCCCCTCAGGATGTCCCTGACTGGCTGGACATCCAGGATTTGCCTCATGGATGCCGTCCGCGCCATCTCAGCAGCTGTTTGACCTGAAATTAAGTTTTAGAAATTGTTTCAACGGCGTCTTGGCAGGTAATGGAATCCCCAACCATGCCCCCCCCCCCCCCCCCTTTATAATTTGCAGACTGTTTAAAATACATTTCAAGTTATCTCACACATTTTGGGTACGTAACCTAAACAAATCAAGTCATTTTTTCAAACACTTATGATACTTAAAATTTGCTAGGTAAAGGGTATAATATCTTATTATTTTTCAGCAAAATTAATCACTGATGCAGTTCAAAATTCAATCTTTTGCCTAACATTATCCTGCTACATAAAAAACAATTCCCAGGCATTCATCTTCATTGTGCACATTCTGATATGATTTTAGGTTGTAAGAAAAAGAAGAAAGAGATCACCCAATCACCACATGACTGCTGATCTGGGGGGCACTGAAGTCAGAAAACCGTAAAAAAAGGCATGTTCAATTCAGTGCAACTGTATAAATGCTTATGCAGGGGTGAATGGGGTTGGTCTTCTGGAAGACAGTCAGAATTTTTCAAGCCTACACTGATGGTCATCTATTTTTTTTCTCTCAGTAGATGGTCAAAATTGGAGAATAGATCAACAAAGATAACTTGGAAGACTCTCAGAAAATATCAGTGGATCTGCCCCTGCTAATGGTTGTGATAGTTTGGATTGTGAGATGTCTCAACAAGCACAATCTCTAACTGACAGTGAACAGTAACACCAACACATACACTCTCCAAAAAATGCTACTGGTATGGGATTATTTTACGAAAATAATGTTACTGTAACACAAATCTCTCTCTCTCTCTCTCTTTCTCTCTCTCTCTCTCTCTCTCTCTCTCTCTATACAAATGAAGGAAACACTAACATCTATCCCCAAGATATTTTGTTTCCAGCTCAGCACTGACCTTGGTTGTTCTTAATAGCAGGGTTAATCCCGTTCTGTAACAGCATGACAGCAGCCTCTTTCTGTCTGCGGTAGGAGGCGCAGTGCAGGGCCGTGTTGCCAAACTTGTCGATACACTCTATGTTTGGAGGGTTGGGTCCTTTGAGCTGAAACAAAGCAATAACTGAATTAAGTGCATATACTGCTTGTTAGGTAAGTTAATATATTGTCTACGGTATGTTAGGTTAAGAAGCTTAAGATAAAACACTTTATGTAAAATATACAACTTTTTTCTGTTACTTTATATAATCTTATAACTGTTGTAATCCAAAAATTTTGTTTCATTTGGGTAAAACTATCCCCTCATTTGACAACAAGAAATCTAATCCTAGACCATCCAGAGGTTAAAAAGAATTATATTGTAACTGTTCTTTTTATACTTAAAAACATTAGTAGTTATGAATCCCTTGTTTTTAGCACGCTACTGACAAAATTGTCTACTAGTAGTAGTTGTCTATAGACTTAGGGTGCTTTCCCAGAGATTTAGATTGATTTAAAGATTAAGTTTTAGATCGACCTAACTCCCTGGGGGTTCAGGCTAAATTGCAGTCAGCCAAGCGGGCACCATAGCTAATTACCCCCTTACAGCTTTTAGTAGGCGGGACAGACGCTTTAGCCGGCCAAGCTGACAGTAATCTAGTGAGACTCCCCACAGGGATCCATCGATCTAAAAATCTATGGAAATGGGGTGTTACAGTATTCTCGTTCTGTGACATATTACATCATGGAGTGAGTACCTTGCCTTATTCTACTCTACTCACCAAAGTAGCCAGTTTGTCCACATTACCCTCTCTGGCTGCTGTCAGGAACTCTTCTTCTGTTCTTCTGATGTCAGTGTTCTCTGCAGCTGAATACAAATTTAACACAGTAGTGTAGGTTATTATCATGCATGTTGAACTGTAAACTATTGTTTCTAACAATCCACATACTCTTATGTCAATTACTTCCAAGGTTAATCAGTTACAATAAACATACTACCTAGCAAAAAAAATATTTCATTCATGAAAATGAAAATAAAATGAAGCTTTTAAGGAATAATCATATCACCCTTTCAGATCTTACTTTTCTTTGCCACATGCCAAATCTACAAGGCAATAACCTCGGATCAGTGCAAGGCTTACGGCACAACCTGGTCAAGGATAAAACATCACTCTAAAACTAAAATTGTCTTACTCACCTTCAATCATCTCTCTGATGTCTTGTTTATGGGACACCTGTCTGGGAGTGTGACCCTCAGCATTGGCAACACTCACACTGGCGTTATACTGGAGTAGAGCACGGACTATGTCCTGGAGAGATAGGAAGTATACCAGTGAAGATTTGGAAAGACTGTCGGATCTTCAGTCAGAGTTAAAGTACATGCAACAGGCAATTATCAGGATAAAGTTATTCTAGTTGACAAAGGGTACAAGTGACAGTAAAAAGCAAGTAATTCTAAATATTAGCATCCTAGACTGGGAGATGAGCATCTGGACCTCCAATGTTTATCATGACATGTCAGCTCAGTATGGTCTGCTCACTTTAGAATTATGGTAGAAATTCTCTCTCTCTCTCTCACTCACCAGTCTCCCAGTGTAAGCTGCCTTGTGAAGGGGTGTGTCACCCTCTTTGTTCATGATATTTACTTCAGCACCATTCTGTAAAATAAAACATATATACACACGTGTATATATATATATATATATATATATATATATATATATATATATATATATATATATATATATATATATATATATAGCACTGCTATAACATTATAAGAAAATAATTTCATCATGGAATAAGAGGATGATGTTCTAGATAAACCGTAAATAAAATTAATATTTAAATTCTTAGTGTGGCTGTTGAAAAATTACCCTTTTACTTTTAAGTGTTAGTTTATAAAAATATTAGACATGCAGTTAGTATTCACCCATAGTTTCTTAATTCTCTCCTGGACTACCAATAGCGGTCAACAGAGAATTACTTTTAATATGTATTGTGAAGTTGCATTACCCTCAGGAAGACTTCTCTCAAGGCATGGATATCAACTAGATAAGTCTACTTACTTTTAATAACAATATCACAGTGGTCACATGTCCAAAGTACGCAGCGAGGTGTAGAGGACTCCAGCTACGGTTGGACTTGTTTTCACCTGTTAAATAGGACAAGATTGCGCTGGGTGAGACATATGATGTTGGCTGTGATATAATTGTGCTAGGTGAGACAGTTAAAAGGTGGGTGTAATACGATTGTGTTAGGTGTGACAAGACTGTAGATTTTACTGGAATTATGGTAGGTTTTATGTCATTGTAAATTCAGATGTGGCTAAATTGTGATGGATGAGAAAAACTGTATTAGGATGATTGTAATGGTGGAGGTAGTAACATAACTGGATTAAGTACAATATTGTGTTAGGTGTAACAATACTTGCTAGGTGTGTCTAGATTATTTAAGGTGTGACAATATTGTGTTAGGTATAACAATATTGTGTTAGGTGGGACTGGATTGTGTTCAGTGTAATCTAATTCAGTTAGGTGTGACCTGAGCCACACTCACCTTTACAGTTCAAGTTTAATGGTAACCCATCTTGCTGACAGCGTTGTATCAGATCACTCAGCTTGCTATCCATCCCATGGCGAGCATAGTGCAACAATTCTTCATCCACTGTTAAGAACTTTTCTTCCTTAGGGCTTTCAAGGTCTACAATAAATTACATATCATTTAAACATAAATTAACAAACAGTAAAAAAAACATTAGCTGTGTTGTGGACTCAAATGTACAATCATTGAATGTTAGCTCCTGCAAATAATGATAAAAATATCAGAGGTATTATCATTACAGGTAGCCTTATTCTCTGATAAATATGTACTACAAAATATAATTCTGGTTTTAAGCTGTTGTTTGTAGAAATGCTTTTGTAAAAGACATAACTAAACACATAATAAAAGACAGATCATTTACAAAAGTAAATATCAATGATGTTCATATAGAAACTCCATAATTCAAGTGATTAAGTATAGATATATTAAACAGTATATATACTACTATTTTATCAAGATCAGAGGAACGGTACTTGTGCCCCCCCCCTCCCCCAAACACACATGCACACATGGCACATGTAAGTCTTTTTTTTTTTTCAGTATCTTTCAGTAAATTGTGAGGTGGTTTTGATCAATTAATGTCTTTTTTCTTTCACATAAATTAATTTATAATTTACTGACTGATTTAATTTTGTTTGCTCGCCAAAGAAATGGTTCCAGCTCTCATTATATTATGAATGAATCTGGAGCTTCTTTTAAAGTAGCGATAAACCATTATAAACTTTACTGGGTAATTGAGAAAAACACTAAGAAAAAGAACATGGTCAGAAGTGCTTAATTAGTACTGTACTGGAACCGGTACATAAGCAGGGGCAGATTTAGGCCGTCTTCTGGGTCTTCCGGAAGACGGTCAGATTTTCAAGTTTACATTGACGGGTATCTATTTTTTCTGATGGAAGACGGTCAAAAATGGGGGATGGATCAACAAACATAATTTTGAAGACTCTCAGAAAATATCTCTGGATCCGCCCCTGCATAAGCATGCACCAAAAGAAATCATGCAGCATAATGTATTATATTGGAAGAATTTCATTCTAGCCTGACACGTGGGGAAGCTATTAGCTGAAAGAGCTTAAATCACTATCAGAATGTCATAAATCAAATATCAATAATATAATAGCGTGTATGTTATATATATCACAAACCCCGCCCACTTTCTTGTCCCATTAATCTAAGTGAAACCTACCAGGAGTTTCCAGATTGTCTTCTTGTGTCGCCATAGTGCCAGAGTGTGTCTGCGCGTTCTAAAGATTAAACATCAATGGCATTCCATACACGGTCCTTACGGCATAAGCATCGCGCTGTATCACTCTCCTGGAAGTTGAACAATAATAATTAAATGCAAGTAGTTCGGCAAGTACAGTTTACTTTAGTGTATGAGTAATTATCGATATTTTCTCACTCGGGTTCAACGTTTCTCGATATCTCTCCAATGCCAGTTTCATATAGGTTCTGTTCGTCTACAAGATGGGAAGCAGCCCAAAACAACGCTGCAATCTTTCACTTTGTATGTGTTTTCAAATAAAATAGATATCATTCTAAAAATACTTCGCCGCTAACTCGACCCACTTTCTCTTTAGCTCAGCTGACAAACACACATATATGAACGGTAGGTGGAATATGCAAGATAAGACCATCATTTTACGCCATTTTACGACATTATACAAAATTCCCCTGAAAAAAGGAACGCAACCAGAATAACATCATTCTAGTTATTTCAGTGTGTCGAGCTGACTTGGTCTGATTATCCAACAAAATTTTTTTCAGGCGACGAGCACTTTGCTCTAAGACTGTCATTTAAAAATGGCCGCGCCCAGAGACAGCGAGTTTCATACTTGGTTGGAAGACAGATTATTGAAAATAAACCCTGACATAGATCTCGGAGTTTTTGTGGACTATATTCAAGGCGTTTTGGAAACTGAGACAGACAAAGATGAAATGATAGATGGCATTTCTGGCTTACTAGGAGAAGTTGTGGTGAGTTATGGCATATCCTTTCTTTCTCCCCCCACCCCCAAGTCTTTTTAACGTTAGAACCATGTACCCCCCTCCCCCTCCCCCAAGCCATTTCCATTAGTCTGTAAGTAGGTTAAAAAAACAAGATGAGTCAAACGTTTTTCGGTATGAAAAAAGGAACGTATACACGTGTAGTTACTACTACCAAGGACGTATATTCAATATACGTCCTTGCTACTACTCATTCACAAACTTACATATTTCCTTCAGGAAGATGACGTAGAAGGTGTTTGTGAGACAATTATCAGCAAATGGTTAGAGCATATCCAGCTGAAAGCGACAAAAGCAGAAGAAGGTAGGTGCTGTATGCTGCAAACCATGCATCCAAAGACAGACACGTACAGAGAGAGAGAGTGTGAGAGAGAGAGGGAGAGAGAGAGACAATGGATGCGTTCCCAATGAAACTACATGATCATTCTTCGTAGATCAATCCACCTTTCTGCAGGGAACCTCGTTGAATGTAATTAGATAAGTAGAGTAACAAGTCTCATCCTGACCTTGAGTTGAAAGGCAAGTGATTGTGTACAAGTACATTGGGAACAAGAGGAGGCGTGTTAATCTGATTACATTAATTTAGAGCCCCCTTGGAGTGCATGGATTGATCTTCGTAGAATATCAGTTTCATGGGGAATAAGCCTTGAAAGTGATAAAGAAACTGACACCTTAGAGTTTTCGTAAGGAGTATTGAAATATATTACATTTTAAAATATAGGATGGATTTTACTATTGTTATTAATATTACAGTTGAAATTCAACAATCAGAGGAGATGAAAGTCTAAAAACGTTCAAGTTGCTACAATTACTGAAGAGCTTCATGTAAACGAGTGCAAGTTGAAGCAACAACATTTGAGATCTCAATGACCTTTATATCACATTAATTTTATATTTCTATAACTAATATAATAATATCATTTATAAACAAATTGGGGACACAATCTTAAATATTTCAATATATCCCAATTTCATTTCAGAAACCAAGCTTGCTGATCAAAAGCTTGCAGATATGCTGGAAAAACAAAAGATCTCCATACCCACTGTGAAACCAAAAACAGAGGAAGAGAAAGCTCGAAAAGCTGCCATTTTACAGCAATATGCAGAAATTTCTGATGGAGAATATCCTTTTTTGACAATCCATTGGTTCTGTTATTTGGATTGTGTTAATTAAAAACTTTTAAATGTTCTTACATTGTACTTAGATACAAAGAATATTGAATATTTNTCCTGGAAGTTGAACAATAATAATTAAATGCAAGTAGTTCGGCAAGTACAGTTTACTTTAGTGTATGAGTAATTATCGATATTTTCTCACTCGGGTTCAACGTTTCTCGATATCTCTCCAATGCCAGTTTCATATAGGTTCTGTTCGTCTACAAGATGGGAAGCAGCCCAAAACAACGCTGCAATCTTTCACTTTGTATGTGTTTTCAAATAAAATAGATATCATTCTAAAAATACTTCGCCGCTAACTCGACCCACTTTCTCTTTAGCTCAGCTGACAAACACACATATATGAACGGTAGGTGGAATATGCAAGATAAGACCATCATTTTACGCCATTTTACGACATTATACAAAATTCCCCTGAAAAAAGGAACGCAACCAGAATAACATCATTCTAGTTATTTCAGTGTGTCGAGCTGACTTGGTCTGATTATCCAACAAAATTTTTTTCAGGCGACGAGCACTTTGCTCTAAGACTGTCATTTAAAAATGGCCGCGCCCAGAGACAGCGAGTTTCATACTTGGTTGGAAGACAGATTATTGAAAATAAACCCTGACATAGATCTCGGAGTTTTTGTGGACTATATTCAAGGCGTTTTGGAAACTGAGACAGACAAAGATGAAATGATAGATGGCATTTCTGGCTTACTAGGAGAAGTTGTGGTGAGTTATGGCATATCCTTTCTTTCTCCCCCCACCCCCAAGTCTTTTTAACGTTAGAACCATGTACCCCCCTCCCCCTCCCCCAAGCCATTTCCATTAGTCTGTAAGTAGGTTAAAAAAACAAGATGAGTCAAACGTTTTTCGGTATGAAAAAAGGAACGTATACACGTGTAGTTACTACTACCAAGGACGTATATTCAATATACGTCCTTGCTACTACTCATTCACAAACTTACATATTTCCTTCAGGAAGATGACGTAGAAGGTGTTTGTGAGACAATTATCAGCAAATGGTTAGAGCATATCCAGCTGAAAGCGACAAAAGCAGAAGAAGGTAGGTGCTGTATGCTGCAAACCATGCATCCAAAGACAGACACGTACAGAGAGAGAGAGTGTGAGAGAGAGAGGGAGAGAGAGAGACAATGGATGCGTTCCCAATGAAACTACATGATCATTCTTCGTAGATCAATCCACCTTTCTGCAGGGAACCTCGTTGAATGTAATTAGATAAGTAGAGTAACAAGTCTCATCCTGACCTTGAGTTGAAAGGCAAGTGATTGTGTACAAGTACATTGGGAACAAGAGGAGGCGTGTTAATCTGATTACATTAATTTAGAGCCCCCTTGGAGTGCATGGATTGATCTTCGTAGAATATCAGTTTCATGGGGAATAAGCCTTGAAAGTGATAAAGAAACTGACACCTTAGAGTTTTCGTAAGGAGTATTGAAATATATTACATTTTAAAATATAGGATGGATTTTACTATTGTTATTAATATTACAGTTGAAATTCAACAATCAGAGGAGATGAAAGTCTAAAAACGTTCAAGTTGCTACAATTACTGAAGAGCTTCATGTAAACGAGTGCAAGTTGAAGCAACAACATTTGAGATCTCAATGACCTTTATATCACATTAATTTTATATTTCTATAACTAATATAATAATATCATTTATAAACAAATTGGGGACACAATCTTAAATATTTCAATATATCCCAATTTCATTTCAGAAACCAAGCTTGCTGATCAAAAGCTTGCAGATATGCTGGAAAAACAAAAGATCTCCATACCCACTGTGAAACCAAAAACAGAGGAAGAGAAAGCTCGAAAAGCTGCCATTTTACAGCAATATGCAGAAATTTCTGATGGAGAATATCCTTTTTTGACAATCCATTGGTTCTGTTATTTGGATTGTGTTAATTAAAAACTTTTAAATGTTCTTACATTGTACTTAGATACAAAGAATATTGAATATTTCATGAAAATTAGTAAACTTTGTCATTACTTACTAACTGACATTTTCCATTTTGTTAATATTTTACTGGGTAAAATTATTTTTTAATTCATTGTACAGACAAAATGTAAACTTTCATCAAGTACTTTATGTCAGTATTCAACAAAGTGTATTGCAGCATATACCCTAACCATCAAAGAAGAAATAAAAGGATTTTGGTATCTTAATTCTATTTGTTAGGTGTTTCCAACTAGTTCTGTTTTAAATTTTGTATAATTTATGGGAAATACAATAAATAAGCCAAATGCTTCCTTAACATTGCTTCACAGTGACAGACTCTGATGAAGATGGAGGTGACAGTTGTATCCTTTGCTTCAAAAATAATTACATTCATTTATTAATGATATCATTTTTATTAATTATTATATAATTTATTAAAAATGATCTCAAACTGTTTCTCACAAGAATTAGGAGTGCATATATATATATATATATATATATATATATATATATATATATATATATATATATATATATATATATATATCAAAACAAAAAGAATTAAAGAAGAAATATTCTCACTGTAAATACTCAGTGTGCACAACTTATTTTTTAAAGTTATCATTTACCACAATGTTCCTTAATAAATGTTTAGTATTGGTGAAAAATGAAAACTTACAAAAAGTTGGTGCTGAAGAAAAAGAAAAACGAGAAAAGTTAAAACAACAGCATGAGCAAAAGAAAGAGAAAGATAAACTGGACAGAGAAAAACAGAAACAAAAGCAAGCAGAAAGAAAAGATGCAGAGAAGAAAAGGACTCAGAAAGTAGAAAAGAGAATGAGATAGTGACTAAAAAGTGTTCCTTCATCCCTCCCTCCTGCCCCAATATAAATATATAATGAAAACTTCTTATATGGTCTCTTATATGTTCAAACAAGTTTATCAAGGCAACTTCAAATTTTTTTGAAAAGTAGAAAAAAATCTTTCCAGTTCGTTTCACCTCAGGTCCTTTGAGAGGGTTTTGATTGGCGAGCATTTTGTAATAAGACAGATCACACCAAGAAGGGTTCACCCAGCTCTGGAGATAAGGCATAAGATTGAAAATCATAAGAGGAGTATTTCCTTTGCAAGATATCCAAATTGCAATAGTTATGAGGGTAATTTAGAGTCTTTAGTGTACCTGTGCAAGTGGCCATATTGTTAAAGTATTAAGATATTAGCTATTTCATAACATTAAAGACATGTAGAATAGAGTTGGCACATTTGTTTTTGTCTTTATATTTAAAAAATTAATGAAGTAGAAGATTGATATGAGAAATTCCTGAAGGGATGCTATTAAGCACTTTCTCTGCTCTAGGTAGTTATTGACCAGTGTGTGTGTGTGTGTGTGTGTGTTTGGGTGCCTGGGTGTGTATGTGAGTGGATTCAGTTGCAAAACATTCAGCCAGTTAAGTGCTTCTTCAAAGCATGGAGTAATAAAAAAATTATAAATTGAAAAAATATTTATTTTGGTACGAGTTGTCATTTTAGAGCCATCTTTTTTTTTTTTTTCTTTGTACATGTAATACTAAAAATTCAACATATCACATTAAGCTCTATATTTAACCATGTCACATGCCACTTATATTTAAATATATTTAGTTGCTGATAAAAAGCCCTTTTAAACTGTAAGAAAGAAAAATCTTGAAGACGGTGATAAAAATGTTAATAATTTATTTAACTTAACACAAAAAAGATGAATGAAAGAAAGCTGCAGATAAAATTTCCCTCTGAAAAATACAACATCTCAGAAAAAAATAAACGCGCTCCACTTTATATCCTTGACCCTGAATGCTGTACTACTGGAAAGGTCTGCAAAATGCTTAAGATACGGATGATATTTAACAAAAATTACAGGAAATCTGAATATTTTTTTAAAACACATACAATGGTCACTCCTCTGACCTCCACTTAAAATCCCCATGCATATTTGGAGCAACAATAATATGCCCAAGGCATACTCGGACAGGACCCAGTTGGCATCAGTTCTGAAAGTTTGTGCAATATTCTCACAGGAATATGCACAGAATTAGCCTGATGAGTATCTTGAAATATCAAGCTAAAAAAAAAAACTTATTGAAGAATTCATAATATAGAAAATTCATCGAAGAATCTACTGAATAATTAAAAATCTCTTTAAAATAATTTAAGAATTTTTATGAAATCTATTTATTTAGTGGCCCTGGTATCGGGAAGTCGGTGTACAGGACCTAAAACCATATATATGTCAAGATATACACAGAAAAATATTTGTGTATGTCTGGGGGAGAAAAATCTCCCTGTGACTCCAGCTTGAAGAGGGAAGTCTGTATACAGAGTCCCATAGAACCACATCTAAATTGTCTTTGTGCTTCCAGAACCATTCACGTGTGTTATAACAACTTAAGTTGTCCTGTCACTTGATCAATGTCTTTAATTTTACCAAATATTCCAAGCACTGTGACCGAGCCAGATGCTATCTGAAAGAGAAAAGGAAAAAATTTGGTGAATTTGGCATGTTTTATATTCTCTTGTGTTTTGATGATGAGGAAGTCAATAGGTTCTAAAGATAGTAAAATAGTTTTCTTTTATTATCTATGTACTTTTCATTCACTGTCAATGGGAAATGACAGACTAGGTCACACTTATAACCTACTGATTTTATCAAAAAAAAAAACAAAAAAAAAAAACAATAAAATGTTTAAAGAAAAAGTCAGAAAATTACCAAACTACTCTCTGAAACATCTTAATTTATAAATTAACAAAACAGATTTCAAATATACATTTTGTTTTAATTATTTTTTTCATTATTCATTAATTTACATTTTTTCTATAAACTTTTCATTTCTAATGCCCCAAAATTTTTTTTAAAAAAAGAAGCTTTACTAAAGACACCACTGAAGAGGTAATTAATGAGTGTGTGTATTTACAATCACTACATTAGTCTCTTGCTATAGTCATTCCTGTACAAAACATTCACCTGTGTTCTCCCAGCATCCTGTACTATATAATTTGGAAGACCTAATGCTTCTGCCTTTACTGCCAATGCTATTAACTCTTCTTTATTTGTCCCTTTTAATACTATTTTTGTCTCTCTGAAAAGGTAAGAAAACAAAGTGAAGACATTTGAGATACTAGCCAATGCTAACTTAGATAGCAAATGATTTTCATTATGCAAGAACAAACATTAAATTGCTGGCACTACATGAACACAAGCAAGCATACACCCTCTCTCACACACAAATATCATGCACTCTCTTAAGCTTTCTCACACACAAATGCACACTAATCCACACATAATTTTTCTCCTCCATCTCCACCTCTCTCCCTCTTTCTTTCTCTCTCTCTCTCTCTCCCTCCCTCTCTCTCTCTTTCTCTCTCAAACACACAACCACAAACAAATGAAGCATTGTCTAGTTGGTAAGTGCTCAATATGTGCCCTGAGAAAATACTAAAACATTTCATATTTACAAGACGCCAGAAGTGACCTTTGACCATTGAGTCTGCTCACCCATACTGCTCCCAATGTAGCAACATTTCCCCAAACTTTTGCTGATTGTCCAATATAAGACGATGAATGCCCAGCGCAGCATGTGCAACTTGTGCTGCCACTTTTCCAACACCCATATTCAGCTCTGAGTTGACCACAAACACCATCTTGTGAAAATCTCCCTCTGCTATGTAGTCTCCTATTTCGTCCTCTGAGCTGTCTGAACTTCCTTCCTGGAGATTTGATGAAACATGCACTATTAGTCTATTACTTATTGAAAAGATAAGGAAAAACAATCATAACATTTGATATTAATAAAAAATGTGTTCCTTGGCAATAATTCCATGAAAATTTGAATTCGCTATGTGAAATGATTGATAACTATCAACATATGCACTACCACAGTAGTACTTAATTCCATTTTTAAAAAATTAAGAGATAAACAATCAACCATAAAATAAAATTAAAAAAAATATTGTAAAAAAAAAATGGTGGCATGCTGAATATTAAATACCATACGGTACTTATAATTGTAAGTCTCAAAAAGACCAATAACACAAAACAATTCCCCATTTGTAGCAGTGTTAAGATACCTCAAAGTCAAATGGCGCATCCAAGTCCTGATCTTGATTCTCAAATATCCATGCTGCGGCCAAGTCTGCACTGTAGTTCCCAGTGTGAAACAGTGCCTGGAAATAGTACCAGAATGAGGGCATTCAAAACACAATGAGGACACTCAAAACAAGTTGACCCACAGACTAACAGATCCGCAGACTAAATATGGCTGACCGTCTTAACAGCAACAACGCTAATCCCCTAATGGTCTGCTCGCCTCCACATGTGCCATCGCTGTGCCATAGCAATAAAACCTGGGAGCTCAGATTTCAACCATTTACTGGCAAGTGTGGAAATGGGGAAACCAGCAGGAAATTAAGCTAACTGCTTTTAAGTGGGGTTGGCCATATTTAGTCTGCAGATCAGTTAGTCCACGGATCATCTGTTAAGAATGCAATCAACAAGACACACAATATAATGTAATCAAACCATATACATACAAGTACATGGAACTATCCAGTATGTTTCAAAGCCAGATTGAAAGGAGGGTTCAGCGGGTATACCTGCACTTCCCAACTCATTCCAGTGTGGGTGTACCCCCTCCCCCTCCTTTTATCTCCAAAGAAACAGTAAAAGGAGTGAAACAAGATAAAACGAATGATTACAAATTACCAATCCCCACTTGGCCATGTACATGAGTAGATATGCTAAGGTTTAGTAATTTAAGATAACCTGTAAAAAATGTAAAAACACTTGCAAATCATTCACACACACATACAGAGAGAGAGAGAGAGAGAGAGAGAGAGGGAGAGAGAGAGCAACAGGCACACACACACACACAATTAACCTTGATAGCTGCATTCCTTGACACCCCCATATTAGTGAGCAACTGAATTAGCTCTTCCTTTGGAACCCAGTCACCTTCAGCGCCCGCGGTGGCACCATCATCACTCATTTTGGCCGAAGCTATTAAAGTGGAAAATAACGTCAGGTTAAATCAGTGGCATGAAAGCACTGGCTGCAAAGACAAGTCTGTGATGTTGACATGCCCCATGGCAAATGCCACTGAAATAAAAGCTTGGCCAGTATAATTTTGTTAATTTGTTCCTGCCACCTTCTCTATCTTTACTTAGGACCTGTCATCTTGGACCTTTGTGGCCACCCCAACCACCATCACTATCCTGTGGAATGGTTGGATAGGGGGTACTGCAAAAGTTGAAAGCATTTGGAACAGCAAGACTGAAAGACTGTAACTAGTACCAGTGAAGCAAAATGTGCAATGAGCTGTCGTTATGAAAACCAAACATTATTTCAGCATGATGACAGGCTCTTCTTTATAGATTGCTTTATATGGCTGTGCCTCAAGATTCAATAGTCAATCAAAGCAAGGAATTAGATAATTCCTTGATCAAATGACAGCCGAGTTATGTAGCCCATAATACACGTACAGACATAAGCATTTTAACTGTAAATCCAGCAAATTTTGAGTTCGAATTCTTAACAATCTTTTAGAAAAAATGCCATAACTAAAGGAAAACCAGATCAAAATGACATTTTAGTCTATAATTCATAGTAAGTCCTTCGTGGCACATGCAGCTCAGTCAATTAACTGGACGAACTCAACCAACTTGATTCAACTAGCCGGCTGGGCTATTAAAAGCCAAAACAAATGTCCTTACGTAAGTCTGATTGGAGACCGCCCTTTCATTTCATTGTTTTATGACACGTTTCGGTTAAAGAATAGAAGAGCTATGTCAATTTACCTGCAAAAATGGGTTACAACGTTGTAGCAAAACAATGTCACGTTTTTGCCATAAGACGAACAGACAGACAAACAAAAATGAAAAAGGAAAGAAAACTTGCTTCCGATGCTGCACTTGATTAGTGGCACCTGCAAAAAAGTAATAATAATAGATAGATAGATAGATGTACAAAGAGAAATGTATAAAATAAAAATAACATTAACATATATGATATTTATTTTGATATTTGCCTTTTCCAATTGTCACGGAGTTATGGCGATTACGTGTCAGAGAGGGAAGAGTAATTAAGCTGGTAAGTCTTGGGAAAATGCCATTTATCTCGGAAAACTATGTTAAATATGAGTTCTTTTTTTTTTTTTTTTTTTTTCTTCACAAAAGTCCTGGCTTGGAAGTCTTCAAAAAAGCAGAAAAAAGACATTAAAATTCCAATTTCGCCTTCGAAAAATAACAATAAAAAGTGATCAAATGTTTAGTCAAATGGCCTTTGTTTTATTTGTGCAGTAAGTATACTGAGTGTGTGTGTTACGTGCAATAGGGCCTACATGTACGCCTGCTTTGCTGGCTTTTTGGGATGGTCGCTCGAGGAGAAGCGTTTGAACTTCCTGTTAATAAGCCTATTCTGGACTGGCTGTCACCTTGACTGGCCGAAAAGACCTAAACCATACACATATAGGCTACATGTACATGTACATGTAGAACACTTATTGTCTCTAAGAATAATGAAAAAAAATAATGAAATCAGTTAAAGCAATTTTATTGTGAGATATATGTCTGAAGTAGTTAGCTTATATATTTTTTGGTATTTGTAATGATCTAAAGTATAGTTATTCTTATTTAAACTTATGTGCAAAATGTATGTAAAACTGTAGTTTAGAGAGCTTGTAAAATGTAACTGGACACATTTTAATGCTCAATAAATTATTATTTATTTTTAGTATTATTTTAAACGAATTGTTTTCAGATTCATTTAAACACAAGATGACTGCCGAGCGTGGTTCATATGTACGGTAGAGGGGTAATTCCTTTACAGAATTTCCTACAGATTGTGGAGATTTTTGCCCAATGTAAAGGTCAATATTATGTTGATTTAGTATTTATCAGCTGTTATTTGCAAATTGCAGTGGCGTGTAAAATTATCTTGTCTTTTAATGAGTCTCTTTTTCTTACGTCAGTGGGTCTACCAGTATCAGTGCATCTCACGTGACCTCTAGTACCAGCCACGATGGAGACCAAAAGGCTCGAGCCAACTTCCGCAATATCATCAAAAGACGCACCACAATGATGAATTGCTTACACAATCCCGTCCTCGTCCTTGGGACTCTTTTAAGTGCAGAAGAATTGTTTTGATGCCTTTTTGATAATGTTCCGAAAACCACTGTTGTTGTTTGAAAAAGAATATGTTTAATTTTTCATGCGTTAGGTGAAAATAACGTCAGTTTAATTGGGTTCAACGTCTTAAAGACTTCACTTTTGGAGACAGCACACTTCCCTGTAGATATATTTGTATTTTAATTTATTCATTTATAGTTATTGCTTACGTCTTTTAAGGAGATATGATCCAGTTTGCGATTCTTCTTCAACTACACGTGGCGTTTGGTTGTTTGTGACATTTAATTAATGCGTGCTCTTTACTGTTTGTAAAACACGATTAAAAGAAGACAGAAAGAATACACGTGTTCACGTGGAAAGTTCACCTGTTAGCGAAACTGCAAATAGTTGATATTCCGAATACACGCATTTTCACGCTTTTTAAAGACAAATCTTATCTTAAAAGACAAATGTTAAATCCTTTCCTTAAAATGCAGTCAGTGAAAAAGCAATTGGTATAAACAATGCTGCCTTGTCCTTCTTCCCGGGAGAAGAGGAAATGCAATGATTTATGCAAACAAACGATGGCAAGAAAGTGAATCTTTTTCACATTCAAGTTATAAAAGTCTTCTTTGAAGTTGGTGTGTTGAAAATGAATTGATTTTTAAAAGGGAATGATCGTTAGTTATCCCCTTTCACGAACACATTTAACTCGCGTCTTTGAGGTTCGCTAATCTGAAAAGAAATTCAAAGTGATTAAAAAAGTAATCTTCATCATAATAGATTCAGAGATACTAAACTGCATGAAACTTAAAGAGGCAAAATAAGAAAATACAGGTATATAATTAAATGACAATAATAACCTGACAGCAACCTGTGTTCAGGGTGAAATGCTATTAAAGACGTTTATGAGAACTATATCCTCTTTTAATGCAAGCAACGCACTCAATAATTGCAAGTTCTTACTAATGCAGCGGGGAGTTCCTTATTTATCTTGTATGCCTGGCTTATGCTATTTGCTTACCGCTTTCAATTTGCTGTCCTTAATTATCATTCTAATTGAAACATTCAAAATGAACCTTGCAGAGAGCGAAATATTGAATGCCTTGGCCAAAGACATTAGGTTTTACCTAAATTAGGCAGTTAACTTGATTGCAGATAGAAGTACATGTATATCGGTCCATGTATCATAGTTGTCCTAAGACAATAAAAGACTCTGATCTAGAATACTGACACGTATATGAGAGAGAGAGAGAAAGAGAAAGAGTTTTACAGTGCATGTGTGTGTTTGCCAAAAAAGCATGTGTGGAGAGAGCACCTGCGTACATAAATGTATGCATCCTTTTTCATAAAGAGAAACATCTCCAAACTGACATCAGGGCGGCACTGGCTGATACCATTCATCGTTATCTGGAACATTAAAATTGTGACGTCAGCAAAATCCCCGCCTGAAATCATGTTTAGGAACAACACGAGACGATAAACACTAATTGTTTTTCTACAAACTACAAACATTAAAGAGGACATTAACTTAAAGTCTTCTCCACGACCGCCGCCCATGAAGAATCTGTTTTATATGCTAATGAAATGTCTGTAATGATGGCAATTGTGACGTTTGAGCCTTTTTGATGTTGTGAAAATATACGCTGAAAATAGTATAAATGTCTCTGGATGTGGATGGTCATTGATAAAAGAAGTTCAACATTTAGCCTGAAACAGCGCGTTCGCCAAGAAAGAGCAACTATCTAGTCAAAATGAAGGTAAATATAAGTGTTCTATTTGACTGTAGTTTGACCTTATAAGACTTTTTTCATTTCATATAAGCACGGTTTTTGTTTCTGATGTTACTGCGTTTGACAGTTATGACTTGGAAAATGTCGAAGGAAAAAACTGTAGAAAAACACAAATGCGACCTGGAAAGTAATGCAACGTAGGCCCTCAGTGGGATTCGTACTCTGTGTCCAATTACATGTAGCAAACTTAGGTCAAATATAAAATCTCATTTTAACAGTAGTTTTTGCGGTATAACGATTGTTATTGGCAAGTTGTCGTACTATGCGAGATTTTTATGGAAACACTCTCTGGAACTTATACCTTCCAATCGCTTATGGTTGCCAAGTTAGATATATATACATGTATATTAGCAAAAACAGTTATATGGCGATTTGGCGAATCATAGACTTCTTGAAATTTATTAAAAAAGAGCACATTTTTATTTCTTTTAGTAATAATATTGTTATTATTTATTATGTATAATTACTATTATTTTTTTTTTTTTTTTGCAGACGATAATCCACGTGGTATGCATGGTGTTTGCTATTATTGGAGTGGCGGAGTGTGCAGACGAAGATAAAAAATGTATGGGAATTCAAACAATAACAGGAAAGGGAAATAATAAGTCTCCTATCATCCCACCATTGTCTGAGGATTGTTTGTAAGTCATACATTTATTTATTTATTTATTTATTTATTTATTTATTGTTTGTTTGTTTGTTTTTTGCTTATTTATTTATTTAAATTCTCTATCAAATGTATGTAAAATTAATCTGAAAAAAATATAATGTCAGGTTGGATTCTGACGGTGGGGAAAATCGATCACAATCCGATAACTTGCACATTTAAATACTTGGACGTATTGGAATTTTCTCTAATCACCTCAGGGTCACAACTAACCACACTCAATGTAGACCACATTCTTTAACATATGATAATGAATTGCAGTTTAATTGAACTTGAACACAGTAAAAAGAAGTTCCTTGTCTACTTTTGTTAACGTGTCTTACGATGTCTCTGCAAATATATTTTATCATGCTTTCAAAATTTTGTTAATTTTATATTGTAAATTTTGAAAAATTGCTATCCCCGTGAAAAACAAAGAAATTGTCAACATGTGTTAAGTTTTGAACGATTGAGCCTAGTGATAGTAATTAAGTTTTCAAATAAATAAATAAACAAGTAAAAGAAAAAGGAAACATTTCAAGCCCAAGCTCTACTTTTACTGAATGTTCAACTGTTTATCGATCATGTTTTAATGAATTGACATCTTGATTTTTTCTGTTCTAGTAAGAAGTTGGATAACAACGGAATTTCTCTCTCTTTGTAAGTACATGCACTTGTATATCTTCACTGCAATAATTAGCACGTGTAGTGTAGTGTAGTGTAGTAGAGCGCAGTGCAGCACAGCACAGTATAGTATAGTATAGTATAGTATAGTATAGTATAGTATAGTATAGTATAGTATAGCATAGCATAGTATAGTATTGTATAATTTTCTATCTGTTCTGCGCGTTAAACACATCTTCTATCCTGGCCAATCTGTCTCCAATCGTTTTATCTTTTCTCCATGTTTTACTATGTCTTATCTTTTATCCCAGGCCATTCTGTCCAAAAGATGTATGTGACACGACCTACAAAGCCCCGACCACCATAAAATACCAAAACAAGAACTGCAATGTCATTTGTCCACATATTTTCCACTACGCACAAGTGGTTTGCGACACGTAAGTTGTATTTCATTATTTTTTATTTATTCATTATGTCATTTATCTTTATCATACTTAGCATCATTATAACAGCAGGAGTCAGAGAATAACTCTATCCTTTTATCGTCAGTCATGGTACATGTAACATTTGTTTTTCCTCTACTAATTACAATATTGTATGATTTTTAAAACTTTCAAATAAACGATTTTACGTTATGTACGTGTAGGTCAAACATATCTGTAAAATAACAAATGTGAAGAAAATCTTCTGAACAATATCTACTTTCCGACCTGTGACTTTTTCATAAGACATATGTGTATACCCATGTATTTGAGTGGCAATCCAAGTGAGCTGACCTTCGCAAAATCTGTTGACTAATTCAAACGAAAGTTTAAGCAGGGTTTTTGCCACACTACAAAATTTTAATCAAAATGTGCGTGTGTTATGGGCATCTGACTCGATGTCTTTCTTTGAATACACTTTTCATTCTGGTAGTAACTAGATGTGCAGATGACATACTGTGTAGTCCATCCATCGATTATATTGAAAATAAAGAACTTTTTACCAAGGGATACTAACCAAAAAAAATATTCACAGTGACGCACCATGTCCATCGACAAAACTTTTTTTTACTAAAGGCATATTACTTAGTCTTTATTGCTTTTAAATCTTTTCTGTCTTCTTTATTTTTCAGGAATGAGACCTGCGGGACAAATAAACACTGTGACGTTGACGAAAACTTCAAGAAAACATACACAGTGTTGGCCAATTGCCCAGGAAAACCAAAACCAATAAAGATCAAAGTAGAGAATGTCCCATACTGCTGCTCCTGTCAAAATGACTAAACCCGTGATCAATGTAAAGTTCAAACTTAATGAGTTTTGGTAGAAATATGATACGGAACGGGAGGAAACTTCTTCACAATATACAATTTGTAAACGTTGTTTCATTTGTGATTGTTCCTAGACGTTCGTTGAAAGCCCTGGCGAGCTCACTGTCAAGAGCAGTGAAAAACGCGACTGAAGTTACGATAATAAGATATAAGTTAATTTTTGTAGCCAAGACTCCGTTGCCAAACATTAGTTTTTTTATTATTATATGGAGCTGAACGAACTAAAAATATAAATGCTGCACTTTATATTGTATGGGCAAGTCAAAAGAATAAAAATTACGGCAAATAGGATATGACAAATGATAACGCATTTACATAGTAATTTCATTGTATCAAGCTTTTCAAAATCTGTTTCTAGGTTATATTTATTCTTAAGAAATACTATTTGATAAAGCCGCACAATTATATTTATTGTAGTCTTCTTAAGAAATCGGCGGTCGAATGTTGCGCAAGAATCTGTAGATATTTCATTTGATATAATTTTAGATATATTTGATATAAAAAAGTGCAATGTGCTGGTTCTGAACTGCCATTTGTATACTTTTGAATTGCAAAAGCTGTAAAAAGGCGTAGGCAGTGTTCAAGGTATAATATTGGAATAATGCGTGTATTTTGCAATAAAAGTTTTAAAATATTGAAGTGTGTTGAGTGATAAATATCTCCCTAGTGTCTTGTAATGCATTGATTTTATTTTAATCTTTGTTCGTGTGACTGCTTGGAGCGCCAAGTTCTGTCCACTCTTAGGATATTTCCTCCAAAGTCTGGATTTTGACAGTATTCCATAGTCAACACACAAATTCATTCATCAGTGTTAATAAACAATAAATGTAAAATACTGCAGTCATTTTTCATTATCACATACATTTGTGAGAAAGCGCCTAAATTCGATTTCCAATCGGTTGCATGCCCGGTATAACCATACTCTCCATCAGAAATCATCTAAGTGATGACATCAACATTATGCAAATATTCTTGCAAAGTACTGAACTGTGCATAGAATTAGCCACAGGAATATTTGTGAATATCTAGTGAAAGTCATCCTGTGACCTGGTCCCAGTTTTACTAAAAAAAAAAAAAAAAAAAAAAAAAAAAAAAAAACTTAAGTCCATTTCCTGGCTTAGTTGACTAGGATTCCCATTAGAGTGTTGTTACACTGCTCCTGATAGAATGAGCTGTGCCCATGTGACCTTGAAACCTTGGTAATTGAATTCTTGGTCGGGGAACCTGAGTTAAGATTTTTTTGTGAAACCAGGGCCTGGTAGAGGGTAGTGTAGCAGAGTTTTAAACTGCAGACAAGTACCACAGGTACGAGGTCTACGAGGTGACGCTATTACCGCGTCTAGTATGTAAAAGTAATGACTGCCATTTACCTGCATTGTATCCAAAAGGTAGCATCATTTTCACATTTGCGTTGCTGATGGCTGTCTTCGTCTGAACTTTCGGTGCTTATCCCATCGACAAACTTCACGAAGTGAGCTTCCTTAATTTAACTAAACCCAGTCAAAAAAGTGCCAAACTACAATCAATTACATGTATAAAATAACAAGATTAAGAGCTTGTTGTAAAAACAGATAGCAGTAAGGAAAAGAAAGCATTGCATTTCAAAATCTACGAACTGATTGGACCATGATAGTTACATCTAGATAAACTTATGTCCAACTGGCATTGTAAAATAACTGTTGTCGTACAGGCAATCCAAGCAGTGGCAAAACAATTAATTAACTTTTGTCTTTTATCTTATTATTACCGTTTTTATTTTTGCAATATTTGTTATTATATTATGTATGTCATTTGCAATATTATGCTATATTTGAATAATGAGAGAGCTTGCAAATATCATATATTGTATCACTTAGAGTTCAATAAACTTTTGTTATTATAATAATTATTTTTATTATTATTATTATTATTATTATTATTATTATTATAAAATAATTTCAATTTAAAAATACGGACAAAAGAAGAAGGGTTTCATAATTAGAGTCTTTAACTAAATCATATTAAACCGATTTACAGAATAAAAATGGATCTTTAAAGATATATAATGATTTGACTAATGATCAAGCGGCTTCTTCTGATCTTTGCAGTTTATCCCCAAAAAAGAAACGAGATTGTCATTTATCCCAAATAATTAGAGCATTAAGGCCTATCTTTTTTATCTTTATCACTCAGTGTGCTAACTGAAGGTCGGCTAGAACTTGGTCGGAATATTTGCTACTTTTAAGATTAAAAACACCTGATGGTCATGATATGTAGGTAAACAGAGAGAGAGAGAGAGAGAGAGAGAGAGAGAGAGAGAGACGTATCGTGTGTGTGTGTGTGTGTGCGTGTGTGTGTGTGTGTGTGTGTGTGTAAAAGAGAGAGAGAGAGGGGGGGGAGAGAAAGACAGGAGGGAGGAGAGAGATAGACATTTTATTTATTTACTTTTATAAAGCAATTTCCGCGAATAGCAGAACGAAGGATGGTTGCTTTAGTTAAAACATATTACACAGTGTCCCTCTTAAATGTCTTCGTTTGACGTGATAAAGCCACCTCCCGCTCATTAAAGAGCAATTTTTAAGGATAGCAATATTATCTATAAGCAACTTCTTGGAAGCCAACCAAAATGTGTCATTAGAAGTACAACATTTATTTACATGTAGCATTACAAATTATTCATGATAATAGTTTTAATGGCTAGCGTCCATTTGAACATAGGTGGCCACTTATAATGTTCATTAGATAAATGAATCAGCGGTGTGAACGAACTTTTCTGTTCTTCTTGTCTTTCTCTCCCTCACTTCCTCCTATCTTTTACTCTTAACTCCCTTCTCTCTCTCTCTCTCTCTCTCTCTCTCTCTCTCTCTCTCTCTGGTTTTGTTTTTCTTTTATCTCATTTTTTCTTTTTGTTAGTACGGTAATTAGCAACTGCCATACCATTACCAATGTTATCAAATTGAACCTTTGATGTGTGTTGCCCTTTTTAATTAATTAATTAATTAAAATAACCATTTTAACTCAAGATCCCTATAACTGCGCAAAACAAATGTCTGTTTACAAAGATAAAAGTAAAACCTCGAGCTCATCAAAGGTCTTTGATTAAATATACACATATAAATGTGCAAATAATTATTTTATTAAGAGCAGTCAGCATAAACTTTAACTCTGTTGATTTATTTAATGGCTGTTTATTTCAAAGAGAAAAAGTTAGTCACTCACCATGACTCTTTTAAATGGGAATCAGTTTTATTTCATCTAAATGTACGTCATTTCACAGCATGCGCGGGTAATTGTATAATACGCTTAAGATATCTAATGTGTGTTTATGTATTTGGCAAAGGTTGGCGACCTTGTTGTAGTCCCCGTCCCAATTTTCATTAAAAGTACATACTAGTAAATAAGGTTACCATTGAAGCCCAATAAATGGCATTGGGTCTATGAAACGGACACATTTTGACCATATAAGTTGACCACACGGCTAGCATATTACACCACACCCATGACAAATCGTTACTTACTGCTGTTATGAAAATCAAAAATTTAAAAACCCGTTATTTGGAAGGAGAATGGTTTGAATAGAGAGGCCTCATATTGACGATAACAGTTTGCTTCTTCTCATTGCCCGTGTGTGTTTTTTAAATTTTATCCCCTTTCATTTGCAAATTAAGGGGTACATGTAGAACCCGATCATTTTTACCCTGTTTCATGTTTTTCTGTATCTCTCACTGTATTTACAGTAGCAATATCAATAAGCCCCACCTAACACAAGTTATACTGAGTCGCCATGCACAGCTACTAAGCACTCAAAGTTTTATCACGTAAGTTTCGTATCAGTTGGCAAATCCACTGCGAAGTTCTGAAAAATCCCAAGGATTAACTGTTCAATTTTCACCAAACCTCCAGACTAGAAACTGAGACAGTAAAACTATAACTAATGGCAGTCGATACCGGGCTGTGTCGCTTTGAGCGAGTGATTAAAATGTCAATTTTCAATGTTTTCCTCAATTGGTATGACGTAGGCAACGGTCCCGCCTGGGCAGGATTTTTGCTCTATCAACAAACCAGATGGATGCGCCCTTGCCCAATTAAATCCCATTGTTTTGACATAAAAAGTTGAGCACCATGGCTAATTAATCTTGTGTCTCGATTGAAGTTGCCGCCCTGAGAAAAATTGTTTTTCTATGTTAATGAATTACCTGTTAAAGGTAATTTTGACGTTTGAGTGACTTGTATAACTTTAAGTAGGTGGTGAAATAGTATAAAGGTACCTCCTGTACGACCTGCTGGTAAACACGCCCTCAGAGCGACAGTGAAGAAGTCTTCAATTTCTCAAGATATTTTAGCTTTATCAATCTTTCAAGATGAAAGTAAGTATTCCTTATGGTTACTTTACTTAGGCTACCCGTTGTCTCAAACACAAAGGTTCTAGCGTTCCTAAGCCTGAAGAGGAACGAGAGAGACAGAGAGAGAGAGTGAAAAGACATTATAGCTAATTGTTAATCAATCCCTATTTTTTATTGTGAGTGGTTTGTCTTATCATAAATTTTGTCCTTTTTTGTAATGTCAGTAGCTAAGCAGGTTATGTTTTTTAGTTAAAAAGTACAGACACAAAAAAATACAACTAATACACGTTTGTGGACATTTCAGATGAAACAACAGTAAATTTGATCTGCATTTCATTTACATTTCATCTACCTTTTAATTTTGAATCTCTTAATTTCCTCGCAGGGTTTAATATTCATGCTCGCAATATGTGTGACATGTGTAGTGTCCGAAAAGGTGGATTCTGCCGCCAATACGTGTATGGGAATACAAACATACACAGGCAAGGGCGCTAAGATGAAGAAAACTCTTGTCATACCACCTCTCAGCGATGACTGCCAGTAAGTGACAGATTTACAGTTAACAATACTCTCAAATTAAGAATCTACCCATATAATAAAAGTACACAACACTCTGGCTAAATCCAAGTTGCCAATAAAGCAAGTAAGGTACATGTAATGCGTACTTTAGGCATTGCAAGTTAATTCAAATAAATTCCGCACAGAAGAAATAGCCATTTTTATGTCCAGTGGACATTACACGAGACCATGCTTTCAAATTCCTCAGCTGTTAATTGTGCGTGTAGACATCAATTTTAGTGAGTGTTTTAGCATGAAACTATTGAAACACATTTTCAAGAAGAGAAAAAGAAAATTACGAATAGCAAGTCATGAATATGTAATGATCAAAGTGATTTCAATTGGATGATCTTTTAATACATTCTCAAAAAAAAAAAAAAAATAATAATAATTCTGGAATCGCTATCTATGAATTGTTGCAAACACAGATAAATTATTATCAATATCATTATTATTATTATTATTATATGATTAATTATATAAAATTCATCATTTTTTAAATTCCAAGTATTGAAAATTTTCTTTCCTTATATTGTAGCAATAAGTTGAAGAAAGCAGGGATCATTCCGTCGATGTGAGTATAAGGATTTTTCGTATTATTGATCACGTTGCATTTTACAAACTAAAGTCACTTTTCCACTTTTGCGTCTTCGTCATAGAGTAGAACTGAGTAAATTTTTCTGACACGTGAAGTAAAAGACGAGGAAAAGTTCCACAGATTTTTCAAACGTGTTTTATTTTTTTTAACCTAAGATATGCCTCTACCATGCATAAACAACCAAACAAACAACCCTGGCATTAATCCAATTTTAATATTAAATAAATTTATGGTGTTACTTTTTAAACCTTGTTTCAGGCCTATGTGTCCCAAGGAAAATGGCTGCACAGTGACGTATAAGGCAGTGGAATCGGTCAGGTTAAACAGCAGAAAAGTATGCAAGGTCGTCTGCCCGCACATCCTCCATTATCCTAAAGTAGAGTGCGACAAGTAAGCAGCATCCATTTTTTTTTTCATTACAGAAAGATGTACTGGAGAGGATGGGGGAGGGGGGTCCAACTAACCTATCTTTTTAGCAGGAAAAAGTACGCTCTCTATCAAGTTTTGCATAGGTGCTATGCCATTATGATAAAAAGATCCACTTTTTTCAAATAAGGGGTAAAGTTCAACTGTCTCCATCTCCATAACAAAAATGACTCAAAACTAAGGTCCCATCTCCATAGACACCGCGGTTTTCACGAGAATAGGGACCTAGAAAACTGACCTTCGAAGAGGTTAATAGATGTTATTTTGTCACTCATTTTGGATTTGATTTACATCGGTAATTTAGAAAACTCCAAACAAAAAGTGCTGGTGAATTTTTAGGAAACCTGTGTGTTGTTTTATACGGACCTAACGTTAATGATATGCCTCTAACTCTCTGCTGTCTTTATAGCAGCAACAGATGCATTGCAGTGTTTAATTATCTCTTACAGAGATGAGAAATGCGACAAGAAGAAGAAGAAGCACTGTGAGAGAGACGACGTCAATTACACAAGCACATATCGAGTGTTGGTGAAATGTCCAGGCACTAAAGGGGACACCATTATGCTAATCTCCAAGCAGGCTACGTGCTGCGACTGCATGAGTGGGTTCTTCTTAGACTTTTCTTCATTATTTTCATTTGGAAAGAAGTAGAACTGAAAGATCTTTTTTTTACATAGTATCTTCGGGACTGTAATCTTAATTGTGCTTATCGTCCAATATGAGAGTGTGCGTATTATAAGTTGACTCTTTGCGGGCGTTTCCGTGTGTCATCGGACGTTTCCGGCTGTGTCACCATGGTGACTAGAGGGGATGATAACAATTGGTCGAAATCTTGCTCTCAAGATTCGTTGACTGACTACATGTGTCTGTAAAGGTTTTATGGTATGTGCAATGCTGCCATGTAAATAAGCAAGAAGTGTGGTATAGGAATTTCGTATTATTATTATTATTATTATTATTATTATTATTATTATTATTATTATTATTTTTTGTGTTAGTCTATTCCTTTGATCAAGATTTTCAAAAGGTATATATTTTGGTGCTATACCCAGGACCATATATTGTATCTTGTCCAGATATACAAGTACAATGTTTTATTATTTTGGTTTAAACATGCAAGAGAGAATTATACAAAAGCACATTTATGGGGCACCCCAAGCCATTGCATGGGCCCTAATGACCAACATTTCGGAGGCAAACATCTCTGTACAGCCATTTGGATGATTTTGTGTCAAAATTCAAATGTACACTGATTGCAGCGTACGTCTAAACGTACACAGACTGTATATACGTACATATTCTGGTCTAGACAGGGTAGGAAATTTTATTGGTTATTTTTGAATTGAAAAATGAGAACATTCATGTTTTGTTTATAAATATATACTATATAATTTTGATATGCTTCCAAGAATTGTAATTATTCATTTGTTATTGTATGCTATCATATTCTTATCCGTTTTATTGAATAAACAGTAGAAAAACGTGAATTTTCTTCAATGAAATGTTTTTATATAATCAAATGTTACTTTGGCATTCGTATAATATCTTTTCGTAAAAACGATCTATTCTTATTTATTTTCAAACCAATATTTGCCTTTGTGCTGTATTTAAACTGTGACAAAATTTCAACAAATATATTTTAAATCTTTTATTACATGAATGACAATATATCCTGATTCGACTATGTTAAAAATGGAACACAAATCGTGCATTGTTCCCTGTTCTCTACTGTTGGTCTTGTTTTGGCAGAAGGTCCATAAAGGTGTTTTTTTATGTCACAGGGGTATATAGTATAGCCTGCTAAAAAATCAAAGAAGTGACTTTTCAGCAATTTTGTAACAGACCAGTAGCGACCCCTGTGGTCAGATAGAAGCACACATGGGCCTGTGCGCACGTTATTCCACAAACATGAGAAAACAGCGTGCACCGTGTGGATTTCACATTTTACTGGCGCCCATAGACGATAGATTGTTGTATAGTAGTTTGCATATCTTTGCTATGTGAGAAATTTCATTAAGTTGTCGCCTTGTTTGCATATTTCTCATACATTTAACTTTTGTGCGCGCTTGGCTCCCGGAAGCTGACAGCAATTTAGCGTGAAACCCCAGGGAGTTAGGTCGATCCAGATGGATCGAACTAAATCTGTGGGAACCCAGTCTTTGTCAGACTTTCCCATACGATGTTCTCTGTCAATTTAATATTGGCCATCCTACTAGTAGGTACCATCCTCATCTTCTCTTGAAAAAATGTGTATACATCGTAAGTAGCTCTTTAACATTTTCTCCTTCAGTTTTATGCATTGTAATACACTCGACCAAGAAGTTAAAAATGTGGAATTTTTTTTCAAAAATTAAAAATAAACCATGTTACATAGTGGGAAAACATCTGGAGTATATAAAAGTACCGAATGGTACCAATATTTGGTAAAAATATATACCTGAGCTCATAAGATTACTTTATTCTTATACAAAATAACGATGTTTCCGAACTTTTTTTGGGCGACTGTAAAAAGTCCCCCCTCCTTTATCTACGAGTACATATAGATGGTTTAGTAGCTTATGGTTTGCCTTGTCTGAATATCCTTTTGGCTCTTTGCTTTTGGCTCATCTTTGAGTTGTTTTCTTAGCACTTTTTTATTATTATAATTTTGTGCATTTCTAACGTTACCCGCCATGTCTTCCTAGTACTGTACATGTATTTTCATTTTTTTTTCACTGAAGCTGTAAACATCTTTTATTTTTTCCAGTTTGACCTCAAATTCTTTCATAGACCCACTCATTATCTCTTTTATTTCTGCTCTCTCTGTAGTAAGAGTATTTGATGTTTGACTTTGCCTTCGGTAATCTCAGTTATTTGTTCACTTCGGTGTGCCTTCCTCACTAGTCTTGACGTTGAGTCGTATGATCCCCACACAGACCTAGCATTTCTTCCTCTTTTACCTAGCCATGTTTTTTATCTCTTATATAATATATATGCCAACTGTGTTTGAGCTCTTTTTATAGCACTACGTGCTTATTAGTTGTCTTTTGTTCTTACATTTTTGGATTATTGTTCCAGCGAACACCTTGAGTCAGCCATATGCCGCCATGTTCATCCGGGTCCTCATCGATGCTCTGACGTAATAGTTCGGCACTGTGGCTAATAAATCTTGTGTTTTGATTGAAGTTGCCTCCCTATGAAATATTGTCTTTCTATGTTAATGAATCACCTGTAAAATGACAATTTTGACGTTTACGTAACTCGTGTGCCTTGGAGCAGTTGGTGAAAATAGTATAAAAGTACGTCGTGTTACATCTGCTGGTAAACACGCCCTCAGAGCTACACTGAAGAAGATTTCAATTTTTCAAGTAATTCTACATTTATCGATCTTTCAAGATGAAGGTAAGCAGTCATTGTGGTTATTTTACTTAGTCCACTTGCTTTTTTTCACCACAAAGGTTCTAGCGGTCCTAAGCACGAAGATCTATTCGCTGGTCTCTTTACCATCACAGAAACCGCAAAAATGTGTGTATGATTTAATTTACTAAGATGTGCGTGTGTGTGTGTGTGTGTGTGTGTGTGTGTGAGAGAGAGAGAGAGAGAGAGAGAGAGAGAGAGTTTATAAGTAATTTCAACCAGTCCCTAACCTTTTTATTGTGACTGGTTAAAATGTCTCTTAATTTCAGTTTTGTCCCTTCGTCTAATGTTAGCAGCGTAAGACATAATGTAGTTTTTTATTTACTGTAACGCTTTAAGGGCAGATGACTGTAAGAATGAAATATAGGTGGTCAAGACTCAAAAAAAGGTTTCGTTCATTTTTTGCCTTGGGACAGACTTTTGTCGTTATCCAACCAAACCAACACTGTTTCTGCTCAAAAAAGGGTCCTTGCTATGGTTACAGGCCAAACTTGATTTTTTGGTCAATTTAGTCAAATCTGGAAACTTGGGCATTCTGAGATAAAACTGTCGTTTTTGGTTCTGCACTTCAATTACACGTATATCGTTACTTTTAAATCATTGTCATGTCTAATTTCTTTATTTTCCTTGCAGGGTTTTGTTTTTATGCTCCCGCTGTGTATGATGTTCGCAATGTTCGCAAAAGTGGAATCGGCCTCCAATAAATGTATGGGAATACAGATGGACATTGGAACCGGCATGAACATAAAGAGATCTCCGGTCATACCACCTCTCAGCCCTAGCTGCCAGTAAGCGAGAGTTTTTTCACAGTGTAATTTGCTCTCAGATTAAGATTCTTTACATGAAGTACACCCTATTAAGACTTACTTCAAATTGCCAATAAAGAAAAAAGGTATTTTTGATGCATGCTTATGTCTTTGCGATAGGAAAATGACCTCCATGTGAAAGAAATAGTAATTTTGTGTGCAGAAGGCAACAAACGGGGCCATTTTTTCTAATTCCTCGTCTGTTAATTGTGCGTGTAAACATTTTAGTGAAAATTACTCCACAAACTATTCAAAAACATTTTCAAGTAGAGAGGGAGAAAATTAAGACACACTTAATGTGTGTTGCTCATGGTGTCTTCGCAGCTGATCTTTTAAAACATTCCCATAAATGAAAGAAATATTTGGATCTTTGTCTTCTGTTTCGGCCAAAGGCATTAATTATTATCATTATTGATGTACCTGTTATTTTTGCGCTGTACAAAATGTTATTTTTTGTTGTATTGTAGAAATAAATTGAAGAACGCAGGGATAATTCCGTCGATGTAAGTGAACATGGCCAATCGTAAATATTTTGTACTGCTTAGGTATATGACTGAACATTACGGTAATGTTATATTATACCACAGGGAAGCTGCAGAAACTCTATTGCATTTGATTAGTGTGACGTCAGCTCAGTGGCCCATATTAAAACCCCATAATACTGCAGCTAACTGAATTAAATTGCAATAAAGATAATAATACTTTTTGACATAATTGTTGATAAAAAGTCTAATTGTTTCTAGAGGGAATAAACGTGTTTTTCTGCAGATGAGATATACTTTACAGCCTCGTCCAATCATCAAAAGGCCTTTATCACACATTTCTCTATTATTATTCTCTATTGCCTATATACATGAATATATATATTAATTTTCGAAATAATTCATCATGGAGTCAGTCAGGCATTGGTATTGAATTGAAACATTTTGCTAGTTTTAAACCTTGTTTCAGGCCAATGTGTCCCAAGGGAAATGGCTGCACAGTGACCTATAAGGCAGTGACGTCGATCAGGTTGAGTGGCGGGAAAAGGTGCACAGTCGTCTGCCCCCATGTCCTCCATTATCCTAAAGTAGAGTGCGACGAGTAAGCAGCAGCCATGTTTTGTCTTTCAGTACAGATATTTTTTACCGTTACGCATGCGCAATCATCTCCGTTACAGGAGTGATTCGAAACTTAGAAACGTAACACTCAAAGAATGGTTTATGGGTTTAAATTTCAGCGTTTTTGGAAATGAAGTACAATGGTGATTAATTATGTTAAAATATTCGGGAAAATAACTCAGTATCAATACCTTTCTTTCACTGCGACTTTTGTAGCAGATTATCGTACATGCTCGTTTTCTTTTCTTTTAAAGTCATGAGAAATGTCCGGGGAATAAGAAATGCCAGAGGGACGACGACAGATACACGAAAACGTACCGAATTTTGGCAAAGTGCCCCGGTGAAACCATCTTGCTTGTATCCAACCAGGCCACGTGCTGCGACTGCTTGAGCTCATTTTTCTTAGACTTTTCCTCATTATTTTCCCTCGGAAAGAAGTAGTGCAGAAAGGACTGATATTTTCATATCCTCTTCTGGTCAGTTATCTCAAATGAGTTTATCGTCCAAATGAGGGCTTGTCTAGAATATGTTGACTCTTTACGGGCGTTTCCGTACGTCATCGGGGGTTTCCGGCCGTGTCATCATGGTGACGAGGGAAATGATTACAATCGATTGGTCTGTTGATTCAGTGACTGATTCCATGTGTCTTTAAAGGTTTTATGGCACGTGTAATGGTCTCATGAAAATAAGCAAACAGTGTGTTGTATAGGTTAAGATTTTTATCTCAGTTTTTCGTGGTCGTCGACTCCATGAACCAAGATTTGCCAAAAAGGAAAATATTTTAGTGCTTTACTTAAGAATATATATTGTCCAAACACACGGCCAAAATGATATGTTAATTCTGATGAAATCTGTAAAGAAGAACAATATTAAACCACCTTGCTTTTTCATTCCGAGCGTCGATATATTGGCTTACATTGGTTACGACCGTTCGCCTTGTTTAGATGTTTTTAGTTAAGATGACGATTAAAATACTTGTTATAATCAATTTGGACCCTTCCGCAAACTACCATTTGAAAGTACAGGTATATTGGTACATAGGGCGATTTTGTGACAAAAATAATTTTCTGCGCTGAATATAACTAACGTACAGTATGAACACTTCCGTATTTTGTGGACTGGAAATGTGGTGTTATCTCGGTTTGGGCAGTGTTGAAAATAGGCGACATCCATAGACTATTTATGACTTCAAACTTTGCAATGTAAATGTATTTTTATATTAAGTCAAGGAATATTAATTTTGATATGGTTTTAGGATTTGAAACTGTTCTTTTGTAACCGTGTATTGCTCTGTTAGTTCAGCCGTTGTATTGAATAAACAGTGGTGAAAAGTGAATTTTTCTGTAATTATTATTATTTTGTAATTCAACTTTAGAGTCATATGTTGACTTTGACACAAGCTTTCGTAAGAACTACACTTTTGTGAAAAATATGTATTCACTTTCAATTCAAAATTGGAATATAAATTTAGTTTTATCTGTGACAAATAGAAAAATGGATAACAATGAAATTTGATTGGGGTTGCATGGAGATTGATTCAAACATTACCAAAGATTTTCATCGAAAAAAAAAATCAATACATTTCATCTCGAAGAACCCATCCAATCAGGTTGCTGGTTTCGACTCTGTTGTTGTTAAGGACGAGGTCAGATTGTGTCAGAGAATAATACCCATTAAGGTTATCATTGATGCGACAGAGAAGACGCAAAGATATCTCTCACAAAATCAAGACAAACATTAAGATTAATTAAATAAATAAATAGGTAAATTATTGATCAAATAAATAACTGAATAAATGAATGATTGAATGGAAACTAGATACTGTAGCAAGATAATTGAAAAAATAAGAAAGATAAAGGAATATAATAATAAATAGCGAGGTAAATATGAACAAAAGATAATATTATTTATTTTACATTATTTTCGGTATGCATCACAAAATATTCCATATGACTATATAACGGACTTCAACTTATATCAGTACATTGGGTCATGCCACAGGTCCTTCCAACCAACCCTATCTGCCGCACTGGGGGGGGGGGGGGAAGGGGGGCGTCTCCCCTAGTTCAAGAGCCATAAAGGGACTCCCTAGACTCCCTAGGCAATGGACCACCTCTGTGGAAGTATACCCAGGTTTTTACCCACCACCCTCCAGACTCAGGATACAAAGATCATGTAAAACACGCGCCAAAAATCAATAAAGGCCTAACAAAGTACATATTGATGAAATCGTCGTTTATTTCACAGTACAGTATCTGAGTTATGTATGTAGCCGTCGATAACAGTGCACATGTATATACCCTGATTTTGAAATATTCATATGGTTTTCCAAGTCAAACATTTCCCATCCCGGTAGTTAAAGCACGCCAAAGGGTTTTCAGTAAACAAATATTGGAGTGTTTTTTCTTTTTACTTTGTTTTATTATTGAAATGAAAGTTAATTTTGTGTGTGTGTGTGTGTGTGTGTGTGTGTGTGTGTGTGTGTA